AATCCATGGGGTGGAGAAATGACCTCGGGGACACAGAAATGACATTGAGGGGATGGAGAAATTATCTCAGGGGACACAGAAATTATCTCAGGGATGGAGAATTGACCTCGGGGGATGCAGAAATGACCTCGGGGGATGGAGAATTGACCTCGGGGATTGAGAATTGACCTCGGGGGATGGAGAAATTATCTCAGGGGACACAGAAATGACCTCGGGGATGCAGAAATTATCTCAGGGATGGAGAATTGACCTCGGGGATGCAGAAATAACCTCGGGGGATGCAGAAATAACCTCGGGGGATGCAGAAATTATCTCAGGGAATGGAGAAATGACCTCGGGGGATGCAGAAATTATCTCAGGGAATGGAGAAATGACCTCGGGGGATGGAGAATTGACCTCGGGGGATGCAGAAATGACCCCAGGGGATGCAGAAGTGACCTCGGGGGATGCAGAAATTATCTCAGGGGACACAGAAATTATCTCGGGGGATGCAGAAATGACCTCGGGGACTCAGAAATGACCCCAGGGGATGCAGAAATGACCCCAGGGGATGGAGAATTGACCTCGGGGGATGCAGAAATGACCTCGGGGACGCAGAAGTGACCCCAGGGGACGCAGAAATGACCCCAGGGGACGCAGAAGTGACCCCAGGGGATGCAGAAGTGACCCCAGGGGACATTTTTCGGCCGTTCCTCCGCCGGGATTTCACCACCTTTGCTCACCAAGCGTCGCTTCCTGTGGGTGAAAAGGAGAAGGAAGGAGTTCGAGAGGGGCCGGGGAGGGGAGGGGGCCCCGCACGATGGGCCCGAGGGGGTTCGGGGGGTTCTGCCTCGCCCTGCTCTGCTTTGGGGTCGGTGAGTGGGGCCGGGGGCACTGGGGGGGGGCAGCGAGGATGAGGAGGATGAGGAAGAGGAAGGGGCTGAAGGCGGCGGGTGCAGCTCAGGGGGGTCCCTAAAGGGTTTTTGGAGGGGGTTAAGCTCGGCTTTAGGGTCGAGCCCGGCTTTGCTGAGCCTGCTCTGGGGGTTCCAGGAGGGCTTTGGGGTTTTCTGAGCTCTCCCAGGACCCCAAATCCATCACAGCCCTCCCCGGCCGAGCACCAGGAGGGGCTTTGGGACCATTTTGGGGTCGGTTTTGTTGGTTTTAATCTCGGCGGGGTCCGGGTGGGTCCTTCCACCTCACACCGCACAATTCCACCCCCCAAAACGGGGTATTTTGGGATATTATGGGATATTTGAGGCTATTTTGGGGTATTTTGGGGTATTTTTAGTTGATCTGAGATATTTTGGGTCCTGCTGGTGGCACAGCCCCAAAACCTCCCTTGTTTGGGAACAGTCACAGCTCAACCCCCTCGATTTCCACCTTGAGAACCCGAAAATATTTGAGATTTTTTTTTTTCTTTTTTTTTTTCCCTCGTGGACGCGGTGTGAAACCCACAGGATGTGGGGTCACTGCTCTGCTCTCAGTTCAGACCCCTCGGGGAGCTGTGAGACATCTCGAGCTAAAAAAAAAAAAA